GCTTCGTGAGTCTAAAGACTTCTCGGAAGGTAAAGTGGCCACGGCCAGTGCTGTGTCTCCAGCTAAGACTTGATGAGAAGCTTTTTTTTTGTTTATTTAAGATTTTTTTTTATTTGAAAGAGTTAGAAGGAGAGGGAGAGAGAGAGGGGTCTTCCATCTGCTGGTTCATTCCCCAGTTGGCCACAATGGCTGGAGTGGCACTGATTTGAAGCCAGGAGCTTCTTCTGGGTCTTCCCACACAGGTGCAGGGGCCCAAGCACTTGAGCCATCTTCTACTGCTTTCCCAGGCCATAGCAGAGAGCTGGACCAGAAGTGGAGCAGCTGGGACTAGAACCAGCACCCATATGGGATGCCGGCACTGCAGACAGTGGCTTTACCCACTATGCCACAGCACTTTTCAAATATACTCTGAAACGGTGTTCCCTGGGCCTGCCCCTGCATATCCACTGAAGATAAGACCTACATGGACGACGCCACTCATGCTTCCTCTGACCTCCTGTCCAGGCCAAATGTCCCCAGCCCCTTTGGGCGGTTCTCAGGGGACAGGGCCCCAGCTCCTCATCACTCTATCACGGTTCGCTTCCACCTGGTGGCTGTTGACCTGGTTTGCACAGGGAGGATCCTACCCGGTTGGAAAAGCTGGAAACAGTGAATCAGGTACCCTGAGTGGAATTCCAGGGGGAGCTGGATTTCTGCTCTCAGAATCCAGCTCCCTCGCTTCTTTTGCTGTGTTCATCCCTGGTGGTGGTGGGGGGGGATGGAAACACAGTGATTAAAGTCCCCGTATCTGAAACCCAGTGAGTCAGCTTTGTGCGCTATTTGCAAATAAGGTTTCCATTCTCTCTGGGATGCTGTCAGGCCGGGAGTTATTTCAGGAAGGAATATATTAAAATGAGGAATTTGGTTAAATTTGCAAACGTTTCAAGTAAGAATTTAATGTGATTTTAACATTCATTGCATAGCACAAAATGCACTGTTGTGTTTAATGCAAGAGTTGGGCCAAAGATGTGGGCGGCATCCTTGGCTGCTCCATCTCCCCACCTCTGTCCAGCCCATCAGCAAATTCCACCAACCTTTTTCTGAATTATACCAGGATCAGAGAATAGGAGAAACTTTTTCTAAAAGATTTATTTATTCGATAGGCAAATGGAGAGACAGAGAGAGAGAGAGAGAGCTTCCATTTGCTGGCTCACTCCCCAGATGACTGCAATGGCTGGAGCTGGGCTGGTCTGAAGCCAGGAGCCAGGAGCTCCATCCAGGGGCCCAAGCACTTGGGCCATCTTCCACTGCTTTCCCAGGCCATAACAGAGAGCTGGATTGGAAGAGGAGCAGCAGGGACACAAACTAGTGCCCATATGGGATGCTGGTGCTACAGGTGGAGGCTTAACCTACTACACCACAACACTGGCTCCAGAAGAAACTTTCCTGGGGGCCTGTGTTGTGGCCTAGTGGGCTAAGCTGCACCTGCATGGTTGGCATCCCACATGAACATTAGTTGAGTCCCAGTTGCTCTGTTTCTGATCCTGCTCCCTGCTAATGTGCCTGGGAAAGCAGCAGATGATGGCTCCTTACCAGGGTCTCACATGGTGTCTGGGCACCCCTGTATCTGTCAGAGCTGTTGTTCATCACTGGTGTCTTCTAGTACCCCATAGCCCCTGCACCTGCACAGGGCACTGGAGAGGGTGTCAGGAGCAAGAGCTGAGTTTGGGTTTCTGCGGATGCCTGGTTCTCTGTGTCCACAGAGAGCGCTGAACCCCATGGGATCAGCCTTTCTCAAGCTTATCTTAAACATTACACAGCAGGGATTTGTCCCACAAGGCACGGAGAGGGTATGGTTTGCTCCCCAAGCATCAACACAAGGTGGGAAGCTGGAGTAAGGAGCTGGACCTGGAACTCCATCCAGGCCCTCTGCTGTGGGATGCAGGTGTCTTTAACTGCTAGGTTAATGCCCTCTGCCAACTTTTTTTCTTTAAGTAGTCAAACTGCTTCTGCCCCGGGGTGAAAGGTCAGAGGAAGAGATGCATTGCTGAGGTCTAAAAGCCAGGGCCTTGTGGTGGAGGAGGGCAGGCTGTTTCCCACGCAAACAGAAGGGGCCCCCAGAGGAGACTCCTGTTGCTGTGAGGGCAGAGGAGAGATGGCCAGGGCCTGCTGCTGCTGCCCGGTGGTCACAGGGCACCAGAGGGCCCAGAGCATGCGGTTCCTGATGAAATGGGTCAGAACAGAGAAAGGAGAGGGCCAAGGGACAGGCAGCTTCCCAGGGACCCGCAGCAGCCCTGCTTATCCCTGGACTCACTTTACTTTTTTTTTTTTTAAGATTTATTTATTTGCTTGGAAGTCAGAGTGACAGCAATAGAGGGAGAGACAGAGACAGAGAGAGCTCTTCCACCTGCTGGTTCCCTCCCTAGATGGCTGCAATGGCAAGCACTGGGCCAGGCCAAATCCAGGAGCCAGGAGCTTCTTCCAGGTCTCCCTTGTGGGTGCCTCCAGGCGGACCCCTGTTGCCCGGAACCTGGGACCTGCCTTGTCAGAATCAGGGAGCTGGGTCTGGAGTGGATCCTTTGTTTTAAGCATTTGCTCAGTCCTCACAGTTTTTTCTGTCATGAGGTCCATTTGGATCAATTTCTCAGAAATGAAATCACATTTTTCCTGAGTGATAAACAGTCATGTGGCTTTACTATGAAAAGGATCAGATGGATATAAAGGGAAGAGTCTCCCTTTCCGCTCTACCCTCAGGCACTCTGGTCCCTCCCTGGAGGGAAACAGTTATCAGTGTTACCTGTTTTGGGTGTCTTTTCCAAGGTTTGTGACACACAGATGCACACACATATACACACACATTTATTTTTCACACAGGTTGTTAAAGGTCCTGAGCCTTATCCTTTAAACTTATTATCTTGGAGATTTTTCCTATAGAATATAGACAACTGACCTCTGTTTTAACGTCTGTAGCCTATTCCACTATGTGGATGTGCCATAATCTATCTAGGTAGTGCCTTGTTCATGGTCTCCTGGATTGTTTCAACCACCTGCTATCATGGAGAATGTTGTACTGAGCAACTTTCGTACCATGTCATTGAGCAAAGCCCCTGACCACAGGAATCTCCAGAAAGGTGCAGAAAGGAGAGAGAACTGAATGCTAAGTTTGAGACAAGTCAGAAATAGCATGTACGGCTCTGGCTTGGAAGTCAAGAGATTAAACTCCTACAAGTAATACCAAAGTCCCCTTTCAAATCCCTAACTCCTTGAAATTTGTGCAAAACAATTTGATATCTCAACTAGCTGAATTTTTTAGGTGAAAAAAGGAAGCTGTGAGGGGCCAAGGTGTTTCCTCAACCTTTCAACTCACCAACTGTCTGACCCCAAACAAGATTCGGATTTGCTGTCCTAGCTCACTTGTCCCGAAGCCGGGGATGGCGAGGGAACAGACTCCATTGTGTTGTCTTGAGGGTTAAAGGGACGACTCACATAAAGGGTTTACAACAGGGTCTCACATAGTAAGAGATAAAAGACTGTGTGCTGAGGGAGTCTGTTTGCAAGCGAGAGGATGAAGTGCAAAGTTTCCGGCCGCTGGGGGCTGGAGCAGGAGTCCGGGTCCCAGGACTCCCAACCTGAGGGTGGAGGGAAAGCCTGACATGCAGATATTAGTGATGGTGATGGCCATGGGACTTTGGCCTGTCGGAGTGGATTCGTCCAGCCTTGCACCAGCTACTGCAGTTTAGCAAACCCAAGATGCCTTTGGGTGTAAGAAGTATTGTAATTTTATGGGTCACCTAGATGGTAAAGAAGGAAGGCAGAGAGGTGGGGGGGGGCAGGGGAAGGGAAGAAAACTGCCCCCTGCCATTGCAAGATGCTGGGCAGGTGGTTGAGCTGTCATTCACCCCACCCACCCACACCCTTCTTTGTTCTGCACATGTGCACACATGGACACACTGGGGTAGGAAGGAGAGGGGATTTGCTCTTTGTTCATTTGCCTGAACTTCCTGCTAATCCCAGTGATGACCTTGGCAGTTGATTCCAGCTTCTGGCTTTCCTCCACTCCCATTTCCCCTCAGAGGAAGCAGTGCCAGCAGGCAGTGTCCCCCCACCAAGTTCCGAGCCAGCTCTTCAGCACCCCTTCCCAAGCCCCAGAGGTATCGGCACCTGGCCAGCAACACCCTACCTTTACAGGTCCCCTTTTTTTGACATATCTGTCCTCTGATGCCTGCTTAGCCAAGTCCCTGTATTAAATCCTCTCCATTAAAGCAACTAGACCAGGGGCTGGTGCTGTGCTGTGGCAGAGAATGCTAAGCTTTTGTCTGCAGGGCTGGCATCCCACATGGACATCAATTTAAGTCCCGGCAGCTCCACTTCCGATCCAGCTCCCTGCTGATGTGCCTGGGAAAGCAGCGGGGCATGGCCCAAGTGCTTGGGCCCGTGCACCCACATGGGAGACCTGGAAGAAGCTCCTGGCTCCTGGCTCCTGGCTTTGGATTGGCCCAGCTCCAGCCATTGTGGCCATCTGGGGAGTGAACCAGCAGGTGAAAGAGTGTGCACTCGCTCTCTCCTCTCTCTCTCTCTCTCTCTCTCTCTCTTTCTCTCTCTCTCTGTGTGTGTGTGTGTGTGTGTGTGTGTATACCTTCTTTTCTCTCTAACTCAGACTTTCAAATAAATAATAAATCTTTAAAAAAATAAAGTAACTAGACTATTTCCCTACCTGCACCTGACTTGTGGATTAAATCGCACCTTCAGAAATATTCAGTGAGCATCTCTGAGTCTACAAAACCAAACATTGCAACACGAGAGTCATAGATGCCAGGGCCCTGGTGCTTCTGGAAGTGACCGAGCTGACTAATGGTGAGCCCGGTGGGAAGAAGTGGCCCAAGGCCACACAGCTCCTGACCACTGTCCAGAGCTCTGTCCTCTGTGTCTCAGTGTTGCTCTGCTCAAGGGCCTGGGAGGGACAGGGCAGGGAGCTTCCTCATGAGGTAGGGGTCCTCACCAAGACCCTCTCTTCCTTCCAGGAAGTCCACTTTGCTGGTCAACAATGGGTTTGCTGTCGCCGCGGCATTGCTGATGGCCTGCGCTCTGCGGGCAGGAGCCTTCGAGATGCTGATTGTGGGCCGCTTCATCATGGGTGTGGATGGAGGTGAGACCCGTTGTGATGGGGGCAGGGGCATTAACCCGTTCCCCAGGGGTGTTTCAAACATGAGAGCCTGGGTTGGCAGGGCCCATGGACTGAACAGTTCCAAGCAGGATGCTCTAGCTCCCAAACTGACAACCACCACGCAGGGGAGACCCACGCCAGCCCCAACAGACCTGGGTGGCCGTCTGCTCGTCATTGCCACCGTTCAGGTCTTCCCAGGGTTGTCTGGTTTCTTGGGAGCTTTCGTGAGGATGATGTTTTCAGTCTGGGCTCCGGCTCCTTCATTCTTTCATATGTACACCCAGCGTTTACAATGCACCTGCCGTGCTGTCTGGGGACGTAACAGTTGCTAAGACCCTACCCCTCTGCCGCATACATTCTATGAGGGCCAACTGAGATACGTTAGGCGGAGAACAGCAGGTCCCAGGAGAAAAAAGGCCTGGCAGGAGGATAGTGAGGGCCGTTTTAGAAAAACAGTCAGGGAAGACTGCCTGGAAGAGGCAACAAGAGGAGAGATGAGATTGAACCAAAGATGAGAACTTGAGGAATCTCTGGGGAGCTGGGTTCCCAGCAGAGAGGAGCGTGCAATGATGCTGAGGCAAAAGGGCACTGGGTGTGTCCAGGGAAGAGTGAGGAGCGGAGCGTCCCTGGAGCCCAGTGAGCAAGGGGGAGCTGGGGCCAGATGATGTGGGTCCCCGTGGGCCATGGTGAGAGCTGTGGAGTCGTGCTGAGGGTGAAGGAAGCCCTGGGTGGGTTGAGGGGAGTGGTCTCTGTTTCAGTACCTTTCCTCCTGCTCGTGTGTAGAGAAGAGTGGAAAAGCAGGCCAGGAGTGGAGCCAAGGGCACGTAGGGGGTGGAGCCAGGTGTCCCCGGCACCTGGGTGGTGGCTGGGACAGCAGGGGAGGAGACACAGACACTGGCTGTGGGTGTGAGAGTGGAAGACTCAAAGTGTCTTGTCAAGATAAATTCAGCTTCCTCCCTCGATATTCGAATCTGGGAAGGATGGCTCTCAGGCATTTGTGGAGAGAGGCTATTACTGAAAGCTCATCAAGAAAAACTCATGCAGATGAGGTGTGAGAATAAAGAAAAGAGGAAATTTAAGGTAGCAAGAGAGGAGGGGTGGCAGCCTTGGGTCTCCAGACTGGTGGTGCTTGGGCATTTGTAAGGAGGCTGCGAGGAGGGAGAGTGGAGAATGAGGGGGATATGCGTAGGGACAGGTGCTGCGGGGCTGGCTGGAGTCAGGGGTCACAGGTTCAGCTGTGTCCAGGATCCTGACTGTCTTCACGGAATTATTTGGATGGGCACGTGAGCCTCTGTACCTTCTGCCCTGGGCCTGCAATTCCCCTAAACAAAGCCCCTGGGGTCGGTGCCGGTTATCAAGATGTTATTGTTAGGGAAGCGAATGACCTCCTGGATCCAGTGGTTACAACTTCAGTGAGTTGGGTTTTGTGCAGTTGAAAGGCGGGGCAAGGGCACTTTAAGCCGGAAGGGAAAGGCGGGGAGGCTGGGGCCCGAGGGCGTCTAGCTCTGCACTGGGGGCGCTGTCAGTGACAGCATTAGGCCGGGAAATCCCTGTGTTCCGATACCAGTTCTGTTGCTCTCCGATTCCTGGCTCTTGGTGCTGGCTTCGTGGCTCTGAGCCTTGGTTTCACCATTTGTGTGGCTGCAGTAACGGCCTCACACTGCCTGGAACCTGGCATGGGCTCGGGAAGGTTCGTTCCCTTCTCTGTTGAGGATTTGTGCGTGAGCCGAACAATGGATGTGCGTCTCGGGGACTGAGCAGAGGGGTGAGGGACCTGACGGAGCCTGGGGCACTGCTCCCTTTCCTCCATTGCCCTGCTCAGGGACAGTGAGCCAGGACTTCGGAAGAGTCCCATCTCAGGATGAGATTACCCCATGGGGTGTGTGCTTTTGGCCTAAAGGTTAAGACCCTGGTAAGACACCTGTATCCCATATCAGAGCGCCTGGGTTTGAGTCCTGCCTCTGGCTCCTGACCCCAGACTCCCACCAACGCAGCCCCTGGGAGGTAACGGAGGTGATTGGGTTCCTGGCACCCAGGCTGGATTGAGGCCCCAACTCCCAGCTTCTGCATAGCTATTGTGGCATTTGTGGGGGAGGGTAAATCAGGAGGTGGGAGCACTCTCTCTCTTTCTCTGCCTTTCAAGTAAGTAACCTTTTTTATGCTGAAGAACAGAGAGATTACTCGTGGACCTTCTGCATAAACAGGAGAGAGATGGCTATAGAATGCATGAGAAGAATAATGGCTGGAGTGTCTGTAGTGTTTTACAATCGACCACTTGTGCCATGTGTTCCATCTCCATTGATCTCCTAGTGACCCTAAAAGGGGGGTTTTTTCATTTTCATTTTATGTTGAGGACCCTGAGGCTCAGAAAGGTAGGGTGGGGAGGTGGTTAGGGGTGAAGGCTGTGTGTTCAGACTGCTGGATCCGCCACGTACCTGTGGCAGCTTCAGCAACTACAATGGTTTCTCAGTATCTGTGGGACATTGGTTCTAGAATTCTCCATGGATACCAAAATCCCACAGGTGCTCACATCCCTTTTAGAAAGTGATGTGTTATTTGCATATAGGCTACATACATTCTCTTTCTATATTTTAAATCTCCGGGTTACTTATGAATGGAAATGCTACATAAATAGTTGTTACATTGTTTGTAAAGAAAAAGAAGTCTGTGGTGCTCAGTACAGATGCAATTTGTTCAGCGATTTATTTATTTGAAAGGAAGAGCAGGAGGGAGGGAGGGAGGGAGGGAGGGAGAGAGAGAGAGATCCATTTTCCATCTGGTGGTTTACTCCCCAAATGGCCACAACAGTGAGGTCTAGACCGGGCTGAAGCCAGGAGCCTGGAGCTTCATCCTGGTCTCCCATGTTGTAGACAGAGACCCAAGCACTTGGGCCATCTCCTGTTGCCTTCCCAGGTGCATTAGCTGGGAGCTGGATCAGAAGCAGAGCCACTGGGACTTGAGCCGCACTCCAGTATGGGACGCCGCTGTCAAAGGTGGTGGCTTGACCTGCAGCACCACAACGCCTGCCCCAGATGTATTTTTTGGGAGTATTTTTGGTTCACACTTGGTGGAATTGGTGGATGAAGAACCTGTGGAAACAGAGGGCTGGGCATTTCTGCATCAGATTTTGTGACATTAAAAGGCAATCATCGGAGCCCTGATGGGCACATTGTTCTTTTCCTGGCAACAAGCATAATAAGCCCCGGGTGGGGGTGGAGTGCTGGGGGCAAAATTCACGCAGAAACTGAGGTCAAAATAGGTGATGGCCGGTGCCATGGCTCACTAGGCTAATCCTCCACCTGCAGCTCCGGCACCCTGGGTTCTAGTCCTAGTTGGGGCACCGGGTTCTGTCCCGGCTGCTCCTCTTCCAGTCCAGCTCTCTGCTGTGGCCTGGGAGTGCAGTGGAGGATGGCCCAAGTGCTTGGGCCCTGCACCTGCATGGGAGACCAGGAGAAGCACCTGGTTCCTGACTTCGGATCAGCGCAGTGTGCTGGCCGCAGCACGTCGGCCATGTTGGCCATTTTGGGGGTGAACCAACAGAAAAGGAAGATCTTTCTCTCTGTCTCTGTCTCTCTCTCTCTCTCTCTCTCTCACTGTCTAACTCTGCCTGTCAAAAAAAAAAAAAAAAAAAATAGGTGATGGCAGAGGTATCCTGTCCTGTTGGAAGATCCTGCCGTAACCTTCCCAGGCTCCCTTATCTTGAAGGTCACGCGTTTCCCCACCTACTGTGTGTGTGTGTGTGTGTGTGTGTCCATGTCCATCCATCTGTCCCTATCCATCCCTGCCATGCCACAGCCATTCCAGGGTCTAACCTCTTACCCGCGCTGACCTGGGAAGAGGTGGGGCTCAGAGCCAGGCCTGGGTGCCTACCCCACCACTTGCCTGGCTGCAGGGCTGAGGGGAGGTGGGGAGAGGAGGTGGATCGGGCACCCTGGGCCTCAGGCACATGTTCTGCACCTGATTTGGGATGCGTCTATTTCCCTATTTGTTACTTTTCTTTAAATGCACTCATTTTTCAAAAGTTCCATATTTACAAAGGTACTATGTGGAAATGGAATGAAAAGTGAAGTTTATCTTTGCTCACAAAACTTTGAAATCCACGCATAGTTTTTTTATAATACATATTTTCCACGTAATTTGTGAAGACCCGAGTGTATATGTACATGAATAAAACTGTGTTTACGCACACACACATATAACCACGTTAAAACTAATGATGTCTGTTCATCTGAAAAAAACCATTGTTAATGAGAAGGCAAAACGTATAGAACAAGAAAACGTTTGCAGGAAATGAAATTGACCAAGAGCTCATATTCTGAATACGTTAAGAACTCTCATAAGACCGTGAGAAAAGGACAGAAAACCTATTACAGAAATGACCAAGAGTGTGCAGGCCTCCTCATGGCATGGCCGGTAGACGGGTAAAATCCCCTGACTACTTGCGGAGAGGCACATTTGCAGCACGGTGGCTGACAGCGCCAGACACTGGGGAGCACGTGCGTCCCTCCTGAAGCCGTAAGTTGATGGGATTCCTGGGGGCGTTGGCCCGTTCTGCTGATGCTGAAGATGGATGCCTGCTGAGCCAGCATCATGTATGTGCATCTACTGCATGTATGTTCCCAGAGATGTGCACGGGACTGCCTTCTGTAGCTGTGAAAATGAGTAAAGTGCAGCTACACAGGTGCCCGTCACACACAACCCCATACAGGAGAAGAGCTTCAGAGAGAGAGGGAGAGACAGAAGACGCCTGTCTTCCATCTGCTGGTTCACTCCCTAGATGGCCACAATGGCCAGCCCTGGGCCAAGTCGAAGCTAGGGAGCCAGGAGCTTCATCCGGGTCTCTCATATGGGTGACAGGAACCCAAACACCTGGACCGTCCTCTGCTGCCCTTACCAGGCCACCAGCAGGGAGCTGGATTTGTGCAGGACGTGAATGGGTGCTGGTATGGGATGCCGGTGCTGCAGGAGGCAGGTTTACCCGCTACACCACAGTGCTGCCCCCCCCCCCCCCGGTGCTGTAATTTTCACAGGTTAAATTTATAGTCAGTAAAATGCTGGATTCAGGTAAGAGACAAAGCAGGAGGCTTTCTGCTCACTTCTCAAAGTCTGCAGCCCTGTGAGCCCCCCCCCCCTCTGGGCTCTAGGCCCCTCCAGCAAACCACAGTCCTACCTGAGTCCCAGTCTGCTGGGGTCTGAACTGCCCATCACTGCCCAACCCGTGTGCACCTGTCTGTCTGGCGGTAGAGCGATCGTGCTTCAGGGAATCCCTCCACAGAGGCGAGGTGGACGCCTGCTCTGGGCCTGGGGCCGGGCTCTCATGGAGCTTTGTTGTGGGTGGAAGTGGGGTGTAGACGCTGCACAGGTGAGTAACGAGCAGGATGCTTCCAAATAGCTAAGAGCTACAGGGCTCTCGAGAAGGAACGGAGTGCAGGAGTGAGGCTCGGGGCTGGCTTGGATGCAGCCCCAGGGCAGGGCCTCCGTGAGGCCCTGGTGGCTGCAGGTGTCCTGGGCTTTCACAGCTTGTCGCGACATCGCTCTAGTCTCTGCCTCCTCCCCACAGAGCCATCTCCTCCTGGGCCCACGGGTCTGAGCCCACGCACGGCCCCTTTATAAGGAAGCCGGGTACTGGATTTAGCGCTGTGGGCAGAGTGCTGCGCCCTGGGGGCAGACGGCGCTCTCACTGCTGCCCTGCTTGCTCCACAGGCATCGCCCTCAGCGCGCTCCCCATGTACCTGAGCGAGATCTCGCCCAAGGAGAAGCGCGGCTCCCTGGGGCAGGTGACTGCCGTCTTCATCTGCATCGGTGTGCTCACTGGGCAGCTGCTGGGCCTGCCGCAGCTCCTGGGGAAGGTAAGCAGGCTCCCGGGCTCGCCACGCCCAGCCACACCCAGCCATGCCCGGCCACGCCCACCACGCCCGGCCACGCCCACCACGCCCAGCCACGCTTGTCATGCCTGGCCACGCCCAACCACACCCGCCACGCCCGGCCACGCCCGGCCACGCTCGCTGCTACCACTTTCGGGCTGTGTTGGGGAGCCCTTTCTCTAAAACGTGTCCTTTGGTGTGGAGGTCCCAGTTCTGTTCTTCCGTGGTGTTGGAGAAGAGTTGCCTTTGATCGGCTTTGATGCGGTTTTTTAAGGGCAGGCAGCATATGTCACAGGTTCAAACCTTCCAGTGCTGTTAACAGCTTGGCTCCTCTCCATGCAGCCTTGATTCTGCACGGTAAGCCCTGCATAAGCACAGATGGTTTGTTGTGTGTTTTCCTTCCTGAGCAGTCATACCATCACATTGTGCTGCAACTCGCTATGTCATCTAGCATTCGTGGGCACCTTTCCAAGTTGTTCACTCAATTCAACCTCACCCTGGAGTATTTTTTTTTTCCTAAACAAACACATAATTACATAACCTTCTATTTTCGGCCTTTTGTTGTGGGAGCAGGCAGACCTGGGTTTGAACCCCCGCTCAACAGTTTGCTTGCTGGATGGCTTTGGCAAAGAGGAGTGTCTTCTTCAGGGTGGAATGGGGTGGGATGCAATCAAGGCAGGCTTCCAAGAAGAGGCGGCCTCTAAAGTAAGCAACGCGAGGTGAGCAGGTGTTAGGCAGGTGATGATGGGGGTTGGGAGAGAGAATATTCTGGCGAAAGGGAACAGGTAGAGGAAAGCCCTGAGCGAGGCACAGCCTCGGAAGCTGAGGAATGTGAGGCAGAGTGCATGGGTGGGTGAGAGCAAGGCCCCTGTTCACTGAGCTGCAGCAGACCGTCGTGGGGAAGGGGGAGCCCTGGGCGGTACCAGAGCAGGGGAGTAACTCATCCACAGCAGAAGGTGGCTCTGCAGTGAAGGGGTGGGGGAGACAGGGCTGGGGAGGGTGACAAGCAGGGAGAGGCCAAGCAGGGGGCTGCTGTTGATGGTGTGCGCGACGGCCAGGGGTGAGGCCAGGACTGAGCCCGTGGCTGTGGCGGTGGAGAGGAGCAGGTGGATTCAGGACCAGCGAGGAAACGCAGGCCACAGGATCTGCTGCCCGAGTATCCAGTGAGGATGAGGGACGTGGCTGGCCAGGATGCTGCCCAGGGCTGCAGGGGGAGGTGGGAGATGACCCCACTGGTGGCGGGTGACATCCCAGGCTCGTGCTGTGCATAGCTCCTGCAGGGAGCAGCGGGAGGGGCACACCTGGGGAGCACGTGAAACACTCTGTTGGCCTCCAAACCCTCACAGCGGCTCCAGGAGCAGCTCAGACGCCAGATGTCAAGGGGTCAGGCACAGAACTGAGGACCAACCCATCCTGGGGCTGATACCAGAACCCGGCCTGTGTGCTCTCAGACCCACATGGGGTGCGGCCCCCTGGGCCTGGGGGCATGCAGATGAGCAGGGCTGAGCCTGCACACAGGCCCCCTCACAAGTGGTCAAGTGCAGGGAGCCACGGGACGGTGGGCGCTCACCCCATTTTGAAGGTCTTTTTGAAGGTGTCAGTGGCTTTCTGTTGTGGTAAAGCGCATCCGGAATGAACCTCAGCATCGCGGCCGCTTTTCAGAATGTGGTTTTGTGACGCTGTGCATAAAGCCCCTGGCCCCCTCAGAGGCTCCGGCTTCTCATCTTTCTCTAGGGGCCCCTGTGGGTTCTGAGGGCTGATTTGGTTTTCCTTTTGCAACACGGGAAGAGCACCCTCCCTGCTTTGCATGGCAGGTGCCGCGGGCCTGATGGCGTCTGAGTCGCAGGGGCCAAGGTGGGGTTTCACGCTGCAGACTGTCCTGTCTTCCCCTTTGAAAGACATTTTTAAACATAAAACACAAGCATCTCGTGTGTGACAAGAGAAACTGTAGTGCTTACAAACTCGGCTCTCGAAACAGAATGCGTTTTAAAACCACCCAACAAGTTCAGGTGTCCTCTGGGAACCAAAAAATGGAGGCATTTCTGCCTCAAAAGTGGCTCAGCCTTCCCGGGCGAAGATGGTGTCTCAATTCCCTGGCATTCATCAGACCGTGATGCTGTCAATCAACACCAGGTTCTTTCTCCTGCTCGGGTACCCAGGGCTTCCATGACCTCTCTTCTCGTCATTCATTCACTTACCACATTGTTAAGCATCAGTTTGCAAGCAGGTGGCGCTGTAGCTTTGAGCATGTCACCTACAGGCTATATCTTTAGGATGCTCAGAGCTGGCCAGGGCTGTGTGACCTCAGGCAGAGCACCCCACCTCTCTGAGCTGGTGTGCTAGTAGTGGCCACAAGCCCAAACCTCCAAGCCCAGGAAAAACGTTGCTGGAATATCCGTTCAAGGTGTTCTCAGCACACCCTGCCCACATGCCTCTTTCTCCCATGCCGTGATCTTTCCTCCCCAAACAGATAACGCCTCACTGCTGTGTGTGTTTACTGGTCCAGCGGTGTCCAGTTCACCTGCTCATCAGAAAGCTTCCCACTAGGTGCCACGTGTTGGGCTGGCGCTGATGATGGAGCAGGGACCGACTCAGAAAAGTGCCCCAGTGGTGCCCAGGACTATTAACCAAGGTCGCCAGGTGATGGAGGGAGGGCTTGTGGTGGTTTTCCTGCTGAAGGGGCAGCAGGAAAGTACGTTTGTACTTGAGGAGGATTTGTCTGGGGCAGGACTGGAGAGAGGGGCGGAAGGGGCAGGGGTGTTCCAGGTTAGGGAGCTGCCCTGGGGAGGTAGGCGGGGCCAGCTCCCTGGGGTGGGGGCCCCACCCCCGCGTTGTGAAGGAGTCCAGGGAAGAAGTGTGGGCGAGATGAGGGGTTCTGGGACCCGTGGCCACAGGGAGACAAGGGTCTTGCCCGCTGAGGGCTGCACAGACTTTGTCCTGATTGCCAGATTTTCCAAGAGAAGTCATAAATTCAGATCTAACGTCTGTCGCTCCCCCTCTTCGCGGAGGAACGACACAGGACCCTACGCTGTTCTTTTGTCTGCTCGGCCCTCCCCGGGTTTGCTGCCGACACTTCCACCTCCGTGGAAGGGTGGCTCCCCCTGCCACTTCCCCCACTTCCGCGGAGGAGCGGCACACCGCCGGCCGGCTCTCTCGGGGGCTGCTCAGATGTTATCCGGATGTTCCCCTTAGATGTTCCTGGTGCATGTTGTCTCTCTCCTCCTTTATAGTCCTCTTCCACCAATCCCAACTCTGCTACCCACATGCCGAGTACACTGCTCTCCTCCAATCAGGAGCAGGATCAGCTCCTGCAGGTTACTGGTCGAACTGGAGGCAGCTGTGTAAAAGTTGTTTACTCCTCTCCCAGCGCCATATTGTGGGAGAGCAGATGCATAGAATAAGTCTTAATTCCAGTAACTTAGTCTAGTCCGAGTTGCTCCCCACAAACGTCATATTTCATGATTTTACTATTGACCTTTAGAAAACAAAAAGCTTCCTGACTGCGGGTTGGTTCCAGCCAGGGATCCTGGGTGGGTTTATTTGGATTCAGGAGCAGAGAGAAAGCATTGAAGGGTTGAGGTGGAGAGTGACAGGACAAAAATGGCACTTCCTTTAGGCTTTGTGCGGACAAACAGCCTGGTGCATGTCCCTGGGGTATAGCACGGTACTTTGACGTGGGTGTATAATGGGTAATGGTTGTCTCAAATATGTCTCTTCTCTGTGTGTTATGTCCAGAAGCTTCAGACCCTTCTGGTTATTTTGTTAAACATATGTCACATTGGTTTTATTTATTTATTTTTATTTATCTATTTGAGAGGTAGAGTTACAGACAGTGAGAGAGAGAGACAGAGAGAAAGGTCTTCCTTCCATTGGTTCACTCCCCAAATGGCCACAACGGCCAGTGCTGCGCTGATCTGAAGCCAGGAGCCAGGAGCTTCCTCCTGTTTTCCCATGTGGGTGCAGGGGCCCAAGCACTGGGCCATCCTCCACTGCCCTCCCGGGCCACAGCAGAGAGCTGGACTGGAAGAGGAGCAACCAGGACTAGAACTGACGTGTCAGATTGTTACAGACTGTAGTTACTCTGCTGTGCTATGAAACATTACAATGAACTCCTCTTATGTAAGAAGATATTTTGGTGAGCACTTATTAAAAATCATTATGCATATATTTTATATATATATAATGTGTTCAGCCCAAAGTTTTGATTAGAGCTATACATAGTAAAATGTTTAATTAAGCAGATTAACATATCCATCTCACATACTTACCCCCTTCTTCTTGTATGTGGCATAGACATCTGAAAATCTACTCTTTCAGCAAAAATCCCATATGCTAAACGTCTTGTGTTGTACATCAGGTCCTTAGGCTTGTTCATGCTATGTATCTGCTACATTGCATCTTCTGGCTTACATCTCTGTTTTCTTTCCTCCACCATTTTATTGTCTATCTCTGTGTATTTGCCTTTTGTTTTTTAAGAAAAAGATTTTCCATATCAGACCATGAAGCATTTGTCTTCCTGTGACTGGCTTGTTTCACTGGGCCTCATGACCTCTAGAGCCGTCCATGTTGTATCAGATGGCAGGGTCTCCTCTTTAAAGGCTGGGTACTATTCCATTATATAGAGCTAGATGCAGATTCAGATATAGACATAGGCATTGATATGGATATAGGACTAGATATGGAGGTGGCTATATGTATAGACATAGCACTATATAGATAGAGGTATAGACACAGATACGGAGCTAGATGTGGGTATAGATGTAGGTATGGATATGGGCCTAGATGGAAATACAGAACTAGGTTTGGATGGATATAGACACCTCACAGTTCTTTATCCGTTATTCCAGCAGTGGGCACCTGGATGGTTTCCACATCTTGGCCATTGTAAGCAGTGCTGTGGAGAACGTGGCTGTCTTTAGGGAGACCCGGATGTGCCCTCATGTCCTCTGAGGGTACAGTCAGAAGGGGACTTTCTGGGTTGCAAG